CCCCCCACATTAATTTTTCTTTAATATCTATAATGTACAGACATCGACCTGTTACAATTTTATTATATGTATAGATTTATAGATGTAGATATAGATTTCATTTATTTTATCAATTTAATACAATACAATTTTTCAAACAGGTGGCAGCCCCCCCTAAAAATATTTTCGGCAATATAATTTCCTAAACCCTTTCAGTTTGATACCCATATTGCAATATTCAACTTATCTTATAAATTAAATTTAATGTAAATTTTTAAACAGGTGGCAACTCTAAAAAAATATTTTTGGCTGTAAGCCTTCTTCATTCTCTTTCTTTTGACGCCCATATTGCAATATTAATTTTTTCTTATCAATTTACTTAAACTCCAATTTTCAAACAGGTGGCAACTCTCTAATTTTTTTTCTTCCTAAATTTTAAGTTAGACCTCTAGCAATACATCGGTGAAAACTGTATTCAAATCCATGCATTCGTTTTCGAGTGATGCGCGAACAAACATACAGACAGACAGACAGACAGACAGACAGACAGACAGACAGACAGACAGACAAAAATTCTAAAAATGGTTGATTTGGCTTCTGGTGCTCTAATAAAGACCCCCCACATTAATTTTTCTTTAATATCTATAATGTACAGACATCGACCTGTTACAATTTTATTATATGTATAGATAAATTCATGTTTATGCCAAATAATGCCTACTTTCGTTCAGAACTTACCCCCCGTCACAGGCATTCGAATTTCGAACATGCAATGACCAAAGCTATGAAGAGCAAAGTAATTGTCGATTTTAGGCATTAACTGTTGGCGCATATCTTCAATGGAAATAACGTTGGGGTGTAGTCTTGCGGAAGACTAATTGCACGAAAGAAAAACGTGCAGGAAACTAGTGTTGCAACATAGTACATATTGCAAAAAGTAGCAGCAACTATGCCAACTAAAAGGATACAATTGGCTATGAAGTAATAATAAATGCGCAAAGTCTTGAGAAGTCATTTGCCTTTGATTCGCACCCATTTCCGGTACATGGATAAAATAATAAAAGTGAGCAGCAAGTACATCCCTTAGGTAGTGCAGTCACAACTATGTACTATGTCGATTCAAAAACAAACCACAAGTGATCATTTGCATAAGTTACCAAAAGGAATGCAAGGACATTAATTTACCTGGAGTTAGGCAGCATGGAAATCAACATTGTTAGCACATTCGTAGTCTAATACACCACACAAACGTCTGGGAGCTCAGCAAACTTAGTTGAACAATATCCGTGGATTAGAGTGCATAAAGGAAACCGCGCTTAAATACTCAACACTGTGTTCCTTTCTTCTGTAAGAAATGAGGAATCTGGAAGAAAAATGATGGTAAGGAATATTACGTTTTCAAACCATGTATTATTATTAATATAATTTCACTATGGTATTACTTTACCGGACGGCAAGTTGACAATCTTTTATTTCCATTAAACTACCATTCACGTTGCTGCACAAAGTACGTGCACAAATGAAGCAAAATTCGTGTCAAAAGATATAAGGGCGCGAAAAGAAGACAGAACGGCGGGAAAATAAGGGAGAATGGCCCGAAAAGAAGCACCATGAAGCAGCATGCGAAAAACGACACTATGGCGCAATTGCGCTGATTCAATGCGCTGATACCGGTCATGGCGTTGGCTTCATGGTATCAGCGCCAGAAAATTTGCTGCGTATCCCAGGCCTACCTCTCATTCTTATATTACGTTTCCACCAAAGTGAAACCCTGGGTTTGCAGGTTTTGTGTTTGAGAGAGTTGTCAACTGTTTCGACTGCGTGTTTGATCAAAATTGTGTTGAAACTGTCATCCGTTTGTTTACTTTTCTATCGCCACGTGCTACAATTCTTAAATGGTGCCTAAAATTAAAATTGTTATGTTGATTTTGTCATTTTATTTTAAAATAATAGATAGTGAGGTGACGACATATTATTTAAATAAAAAGATAAGAGAAAATAAAATGCTTTTGTCTATTGCTGCCAATTTACTGGACCCAACAATAGTGCGTTCACAAAGTGTCTGGTGTTTGGTATGTTAGCAATTTGAAGATACAAATTTTGGTTTATAATGAATATATTTTAGGAACATTCCAGTACCTTTTGGGAAGTAGACTGCCAGAAGAATGGCTCTAAGTTTTTCAAAGAGAATTTCCGGATGAATAGATCCAGCTTTGACGAATTATGTAGTCTCCTAAAAAAAATGACCAAAACGGACACAAATTATCGGGATGTAATTCCACTAGAAAAGCGCGATGCAATTGCTCTTTTTGCATTAGGATCTTCTAGTGAATATAGGTCAATTGCACACTTTTTTGGAGTAGGCAAAGCTACTGTTAGCAAAATATTTATTGAGTTTTGCAATGAAGTTTGGGCAAGTTTGGCGCCAATTTATTTAAACAATTTTCCCCTTAAAAGGTCAAAAATTGAGCAAGGAGTTGCAGATTTCAATGCAATGGGTTATCCACAATGTATTGGAGCTATAGGTAGGCTTAAAAGTAATGCGATGGAAAAGAACTTTTATCAGAAACGGTTTTATAATACAGATGGATGTCATATAGAGATACACCCAAAAAAAGAAGAAGCCATTGATTATCACAACTACAAAGGGTGGTATTCGGTCGTACTGTTGGCTTTAGTAGACGCAAAATATAGATTCAGTTATATCCATTGCGGCAGCCCAGGAAGGTGCAATGATTCCTCAATTTTTGAAAGGTCGTCTCTAAAACGAGAGCTGCAGGAATGCGCACTCCTTAATGAATTGAGCTGGCAGTATGGATCCACAAAAATACCAGTGCACGTTATAGGTGACTCAGCCTTTCGCCTATCTCAGCATTTAATGAAGCCATACCCGCATAGCGTAAACAACACACCTGAACAACAAAAATTCAACTATAGATTATCCAAGTGTCGACGTGTTGTGGAAAATGCTTTTGGCCATTTAAAAGCCAGGTGAATACAAAGAAACGTTCTTGTCTCTTTCCAACATGGTTAAATTTGTATGCTATTTTAGATTTAGAAGAATTGGAAAAGGCGTGGATAATCACATAAAAAATGCAAACACTGTGATTTGTGCTGCATGCGTTTTACACAATTTTTAAATTGCACAGAAGGACTATCGTAGAGAATTGGGTAGTAGAAATGCAACAAGATAGCAGGTGCAACCCGCAATGCAGCAACAACCAAAGTGATCGATTTGAAGGAGAATTGATAAGAAATTCTTTAAAGGAATATTTCCGTAAGTATATTTTTTAAAAAATTGTTTTACTTACATAATGTCTAAATGCTTTTGTCAAAAAGCAGATAATCGTACCTTTCTTACGATATACATAACTTTAAGGTTTGACTATGTATTATATGCACCAAAATTATTATTTTTTTTTCAGAAACTTCAAATGAAAGGTATTTTAATTACTGGTGTANGTATGCACCAAAATTATTATTTTTTTTCAGAAACTTCAAATGAAAGGTATTTTAATTACTGGTGTACTAATTTTTCCAATTGGTCAATTAGTTTTTGAAATACTCCATTTTTTATAAATTTAAAATCTGAGATTTAACCCTCAATATGTTCTTTTTTAACACGGTTTTATTCAGCACAAAAAATTCTATCGAGCCTTGCTTCCATTTTTTTTACGCCAAAGGGCGGTATTTTTTACTTCTGNGTTTTAATTCTAGTAAAAAAAGAGCAAGTTTTAAGCGGCTACAAGAAATTTTCTTTTATATGGTAAAAGTGAAAAAAGCCGTCAACAATAAAAAAATTCATTCAAAATCAACGCGATTTTTTAGCTGCTTAAAACTTGCTCTTGTTTTATTAGAATTAAAAAAGCAATCTATCTGCGTACTCAAAATTTTTCTAAAAATTCAGATTAAAAAGGTCAAAATTTTTACGAAAATTTAATGAATTTTTCTAAGTTCTGTATAAAGTTTGAAAGCTTGACTTATGTGGTTTTTATTAAAGCATGAACCATATTTATANAAATTCAGATTAAAAAGGTCAAAATTTTTACGAAAATTTAATGAATTTTTCTAAGTTCTGTATAAAGTTTGAAAGCTTGCCAGTGTACATATAATTCTTCCATATAACGCATGAACGAAATGCTGAACACCTTCGAAAAACGAATTCTAAAAAATCAAAAGTAAATTTTTTAGTGACTTGAAACTAGCACTTTTTTGTACTAAAATTGAACGGGATACAATACAATATTATTTTGAATTTTGCTACTATCCGCAACTGTATATAAAATTTGCTTTCATTCATGAAAGCCAAAGAGATCGGGTTTTTAGTTAACTAAAATAATATACATATCAAGGTATATCTAACAAGGTGGTGTTAGCCGTATATAAATAAAAAATTACACTAACAAATTATACGCAGAAATTCATACTGTCATTGGTATGAATTACAACAAACCCACCATTTTGGCGTAATGCTTTTCAAGGCGAAATATTCAGCTGCCACCCCAACATCACCTTGTGAAATACACCTTGATACATATGAAGACACTATGAGTGCACCAGCGATTTTTAATTAGTTTCGCTCCAAGAAGCTAACGACGCTTTGGGACAATATCTCGATTGCAGCTACCTTTTTCTTCTCAATTTCAATCAGCTCTGCAGTTAATTTATTGTTTTCTGCCATGGCTGTTTTAATGGTTTCGTTTAACTCGCTTATTTTCTGATTTTTTGTTTNAGACAATATCTCGATTGCAGCTACCTTCTCCTTCTCAATTTCAATCAGCTCTGCAGTTAATTTATTGTTTTCTGCCATGGCTGTTTTAATGGTTTCGTTTAACTCGCTTATTTTCTGATTTTTTGTTTTTGTTGCAGGTGTGGAGACTTCGCTGAGGGCTGGAGACGATGATGCCGAAAATGTAGGGGACGAATCAACTGGAAGTGAAGAGCATGAAGGCGAAATTGGCGACGTAGGCGGCATAGCTATACAACAATAAAAATTGTAAAACCCTCTTAATTAGTAATAATTAATATACATAAATAAAATTACCTGTTATACTATCCACCACGACAGCATCAACATTATTTATTCGGTCGTTTCCTATAATGCGATGCACTCTTTCATAATGCTTCCAAGTAGCAGGAGAGCAACCGGTTCCTTGGCCTGCTTTGCATTTTCTGCAAAAGACAATTCACAGCATTACTAAAATGAATACATACTTATAAGTAAGTATGGGAAATGTTTAGTTATTTGTACAACGGTTTTGTGGTCTACGGAGTCCAGGCTTTCAGAAAATGTATCCTTCCCCTCTTAGACCCCTCTACGGAACCCCCGGGGGCCCATTTCAAACTGTGGTAAAATTAGCATTTCAGTATAGAAAATATAAACTCTGGTTATGCTGCCCACAGTATTTTTGCGCAGAACACCTTGCACATTGGCGTCGTCGGGCCGCGTCCGAATGGGTGACCTGATCTAAAGTATTTTTACATACACTTATAGTCGAGGGTCTAAACTTATTTAAAAACCAAATTTTGTAATTTTCGGTCTCTAATTTATTAGTAAATTTGATCTGAAATATGCACTTTTTTTGTGAATTTTGGAGTGAGTTATACGCAAAAATACTGTGGATGTCGCAGCCGGAGTTATATGCACAAGCAATGTTGTATACCTTCGACAATACAAGAGGCGCTTCCAAAACGGAAAGGTGTTCTGCACAAAAATATCGTTTACCGAGTTTATATTTCCGGCGTGGAAATGCTTATTTTATACCATCTTCCAATGGTTCCTCAGTGGTCTGTGAGAGGTTTCGAGGGGTCAAGTGTGACTTTTTACAAAGCTTGAGCTGTGCTCTTTCTATTGGGTTGCATATCAAGAGCGACGCCCGCTCCCCTTCCGCCCACTAATCCAAAAACAGTTGGCAAATAACTAAACATTCCCCCGGGGCGGAAGTCCTCACGTCAATATCATTTTACAAATAACTACACCGTACCCACATGTATATCACATTTCTTACCTATATTTCATAGTAAAATTACGTATTTTATATTTCACATCAATTGGGCGGATTCCGGCCGCGAAAGCTGCCAGCGACTGCACCATTTCCGCATAAATGTGCTAATTCTTTCGCGGACCGCGTAGTTCGCTGGCTTTTTCCTCCCACAAATCAACGAAGGCGTCATCCGCTGCTGGTAACCAAGTAGCTTTAGTTTTTTTATTATTTTCCATCTTTATACTATTTACATATGTAGTTTAAAATATTTATAAATTTAAGACGCCGGCAGTCAATTGAGAAAATTAAAATGACATGATATTGACAGCTGCAAAACATTGTTGCCATGTTTCGATAAGAATGAAACAACAAAAGAGAAAAAATCCCGTAAATGAACACTATTGCCATCATTAAATATTAAAATACAAACAAACCCAACATAAACACGCTGTGAAAGATGGGTTTGAAGTGAGTTTGGGTTATGATATTTGTATGGGATTTGACAAGTGTTTTGACTCGCTAGCGGCAGCAAACCTCTTGCCTCTTGGTGGAAACGTAATATTACAGAGAAATTGAAAACTATGTACCTAAATATGTATGTACTTATTTAAAAACGTCATTTAGAGTCTGGTAATGTTTACGAAGATATTATCATTCATACATATGCATCTAATACGGGAAGACTAATTTTCTAAAATATGTATTTACATATTACAGGCTTAAAAGGATTTACTTTTCAAAAATGCAAATAAAAATTGATTTTCTTTGGTTTGTAAACTTTTTCTATACGTATTATATAAAAGAATTTGTGATGACCTGAATTGTTAATTTAATAAAAAAGTTGGTTATTTTTCCTTTCATTTGGTAACTTTTTCGTCTAATCTTGGTTAGAAAGTTCTTTGAGCAGCGGCAACACTGCCAAGAATGATAGAATACAAGATTGCGCCCATGAGAGAGGATTTTGAGCGTAATTTTGGCGTGACGTCATCTTCGTGCAATTGCGAGAGGGAAATGCCAAATCGCGTAGAAAAATATTTAAAAAATGCGGAATAATCTTTTAATATCAAATTGATATTATCAATACTAAAGGGTCCAATTTTGCAGGAATTAATAAATATACAAAGACTAGCTTACCTGGCGAACTTCGTCCCGCCCAAAATTGTTTTATATTGAAATATTTGGTCCAACGTTTTCGCCAGCAATTCACGTTCACGTTTGGTTTTGTGGTCGACAGAAGGCATATCCCCCATTACCGTCTAAAATAACCTGATGAAAGCGTTATACCGGGAAGAAGCCCTTGCGGCTTGATAGTGAATCGTTCTTGAATCTGTATAGTCTAGTTGGTGGCAATTTCCAAACTGGTGAGTATCATTGATCCACATTCTGTTTAGTCAACGTAAAGCAAGGACCGCAGAGTCAAGGTGCAGGAATGGTATTTTCAGGGATTGAAGTCAGAAGTCCAAGCCTTAATTTAAGCCTAAGTGGAATTTTGCTTAATTGCGGTAGGTACTCAAACTTCCCAAAATCAGTTTTTCCTGTTCAACAAATAACTATAAGTGGCCATCAAGCAAAGGTGCAGGAATTTGCAGGGATAGTAGCCGAGATTTTCTTTCGTTAATCTAAGCCCTTTGTTTCTTTGCTAGAGCTTCTCAAATATTGCAAAATCGCGATTCTTTGACACTGGCCTTGTTTTTCTTAAAATCAGGAGCTGACGGAAACTTTATGCTTACGTCAAAAATAGCGTTAACATTAGCTGCATAAAATTTGCTTATATTTTTGTTGGCGTGCGTAATAACTATTGTTAAATAGCCAATACTCGCATGTTTGCGGCGCCTTGAAACACCTTTCGAACTGTAAAACAATGACTCAATTCTATTCTACGCATATCTATAATACGGGTTCGAATTTCAAGCAAATCAGACTATAAATAAGAATTTTTGGAATAGATCGGTCCCTGGTCCAACTATCAGAAAAAGAGTTTCCAATATTTTAAACCTGACAATAAGCTACCTACGTGCAAAGTTTCAAGCAAATCGCACCATAAATAAGATTTTTTCCAATAGATCGGTATCTGGTCCACCTATCAGAAAAAGTGGCCTATATTTTAACCCAGACAATACGCTACCTACGTGCCAAATTCCAAGCAAAACGGACCATAAATAAGACTTTTTCGAATAGATTGGTCCCTGGCCCACTTAANTTGTTAATTTAATAAAAAAGTTGGTTATTTTTCCTTTCATTTGGTAACTTTTTCGTCTAATCTTGGTTAGAAAGTTCTTTGAGCAGCGGCAACACTGCCAAGAATGATAGAATACAAGATTGCGCCCATGAGAGAGGATTTTGAGCGTAATTTTGGCGTGACGTCATCTTCGTGCAATTGCGAGAGGGAAATGCCAAATCGCGTAGAAAAATATTTAAAAAATGCGGAATAATCTTTTAATATCAAATTGATATTATCAATACTAAAGGGTCCAATTTTGCAGGAATTAATAAATATACAAAGACTAGCTTACCTGGCGAACTTCGTCCCGCCCAAAATTGTTTTATATTGAAATATTTGGTCCAACGTTTTCGCCAGCAATTCACGTTCACGTTTGGTTTTGTGGTCGACAGAAGGCATATCCCCCATTACCGTCTAAAATAACCTGATGAAAGCGTTATACCGGGAAGAAGCCCTTGCGGCTTGATAGTGAATCGTTCTTGAATCTGTATAGTCTAGTTGGTGGCAATTTCCAAACTGGTGAGTATCATTGATCCACATTCTGTTTAGTCAACGTAAAGCAAGGACCGCAGAGTCAAGGTGCAGGAATGGTATTTTCAGGGATTGAAGTCAGAAGTCCAAGCCTTAATTTAAGCCTAAGTGGAATTTTGCTTAATTGCGGTAGGTACTCAAACTTCCCAAAATCAGTTTTTCCTGTTCAACAAATAACTATAAGTGGCCATCAAGCAAAGGTGCAGGAATTTGCAGGGATAGTAGCCGAGATTTTCTTTCGTTAATCTAAGCCCTTTGTTTCTTTGCTAGAGCTTCTCAAATATTGCAAAATCGCGATTCTTTGACACTGGCCTTGTTTTTCTTAAAATCAGGAGCTGACGGAAACTTTATGCTTACGTCAAAAATAGCGTTAACATTAGCTGCATAAAATTTGCTTATATTTTTGTTGGCGTGCGTAATAACTATTGTTAAATAGCCAATACTCGCATGTTTGCGGCGCCTTGAAACACCTTTCGAACTGTAAAACAATGACTCAATTCTATTCTACGCATATCTATAATACGGGTTCGAATTTCAAGCAAATCAGACTATAAATAAGAATTTTTGGAATAGATCGGTCCCTGGTCCAACTATCAGAAAAAGAGTTTCCAATATTTTAAACCTGACAATAAGCTACCTACGTGCAAAGTTTCAAGCAAATCGCACCATAAATAAGATTTTTTCCAATAGATCGGTATCTGGTCCACCTATCAGAAAAAGTGGCCTATATTTTAACCCAGACAATACGCTACCTACGTGCCAAATTCCAAGCAAAACGGACCATAAATAAGACTTTTTCGAATAGATTGGTCCCTGGCCCACTTAACGGGAAAAATGGATCCTGTAAGCTAATATATTTAAGGCAAAAAGGCTACCTACGCACCAAATGCATTTTTTAGCGTAGCTCGACCCCTGCCCCACGTATCGGAAAAATTAAAACTTTGTGGANACCGTCTAAAATAACCTGATGAAAGCGTTATACCGGGAAGAAGCCCTTGCGGCTTGATAGTGAATCGTTCTTGAATCTGTATAGTCTAGTTGGTGGCAATTTCCAAACTGGTGAGTATCATTGATCCACATTCTGTTTAGTCAACGTAAAGCAAGGACCGCAGAGTCAAGGTGCAGGAATGGTATTTTCAGGGATTGAAGTCAGAAGTCCAAGCCTTAATTTAAGCCTAAGTGGAATTTTGCTTAATTGCGGTAGGTACTCAAACTTCCCAAAATCAGTTTTTCCTGTTCAACAAATAACTATAAGTGGCCATCAAGCAAAGGTGCAGGAATTTGCAGGGATAGTAGCCGAGATTTTCTTTCGTTAATCTAAGCCCTTTGTTTCTTTGCTAGAGCTTCTCAAATATTGCAAAATCGCGATTCTTTGACACTGGCCTTGTTTTTCTTAAAATCAGGAGCTGACGGAAACTTTATGCTTACGTCAAAAATAGCGTTAACATTAGCTGCATAAAATTTGCTTATATTTTTGTTGGCGTGCGTAATAACTATTGTTAAATAGCCAATACTCGCATGTTTGCGGCGCCTTGAAACACCTTTCGAACTGTAAAACAATGACTCAATTCTATTCTACGCATATCTATAATACGGGTTCGAATTTCAAGCAAATCAGACTATAAATAAGAATTTTTGGAATAGATCGGTCCCTGGTCCAACTATCAGAAAAAGAGTTTCCAATATTTTAAACCTGACAATAAGCTACCTACGTGCAAAGTTTCAAGCAAATCGCACCATAAATAAGATTTTTTCCAATAGATCGGTATCTGGTCCACCTATCAGAAAAAGTGGCCTATATTTTAACCCAGACAATACGCTACCTACGTGCCAAATTCCAAGCAAAACGGACCATAAATAAGACTTTTTCGAATAGATTGGTCCCTGGCCCACTTAACGGGAAAAATGGATCCTGTAAGCTAATATATTTAAGGCAAAAAGGCTACCTACGCACCAAATGCATTTTTTAGCGTAGCTCGACCCCTGCCCCACGTATCGGAAAAATTAAAACTTTGTGGACTCCTTCTAAACACATTTCCAAAAAAGCAGCAACCATTCGAATCGGTTATGAAACATATTTAGGAGAACATTGTTCCCAATTGATTCATGTTCACAATGAATTTCACAATTATCCGAAATTCTCCAAGCTTCACAACGAATTTTCCACCTTAACATTGTCCAAAATCATCAAATCATACGATAAAATACAAAATTTCGTCGAAAAAAATTCAAATATTTCGCGTTCTTCTGGATTTTTCCGAATTTTCCAGAATTTTATATTTTACCATTCGAAAGCCATCCCGAAGTAATTGCACAAAANGCCTTGTTTTTCTTAAAATCAGGAGCTGACGGAAACTTTATGCTTACGTCAAAAATAGCGTTAACATTAGCTGCATAAAATTTGCTTATATTTTTGTTGGCGTGCGTAATAACTATTGTTAAATAGCCAATACTCGCATGTTTGCGGCGCCTTGAAACACCTTTCGAACTGTAAAACAATGACTCAATTCTATTCTACGCATATCTATAATACG